ACATATAATATCAGCTAAATAAGCATAATTAAAATCTTAAACATTGATTTGATAATAAAAAAAGAAGTAAAAATGTCTTTCTTTTTTCAATTAAGGATAGTAACTAAATGAAAATAATTTTTGTATTGATTTGTCGCTCACAATCTTTTAAGTTGAAGCTAGTGACCAATTATGAAGCAGACCTAGGTTGACTAATTAAGATCCCATATGTTACGTGAAAAGGATATACACTTCATCCTAAAATTAAAAAAAAAATGCATGCAAATCATTGTTGGATCTTTGCGTCATTCAAATTTTATTTGAGATGTGTAGCCTCCATCTATATTGGAAAATGGAAGGAATCTATATTTCCTAATGACCAGCAGCAGATACATTATGTTACATTTCCCACTCTGTTTTTTTCAGGAACTACGAAGATCAATGTACTCCCCGCTTTTAAAGAGGAATAATATGATTTCATATTTGTTCTGTTTGAAAACATGTAAACTCTAAACTTACAGCTGATCATCATTTGATAAAAATATCAAATTGCAATTCAAAAGAAATTGTATGCAAATAAAGTGCCCTTCTCTTATTGGCACGTACGCGTTGAACTTTTTTATCTACTGATAAAAAATGCTTATCTTTCTGAAGAATAAAAGTAAAGCAACTAAATGCAATAGCACTATATCATGATTCTTTTAGCTCACCTGGCCTAAAGGCCAGTTTAAGCTTTTCGTTTCAATTAGCGGCCGTCGTCAGTTAAATTTTTCAAAAATCTTTTCCTCTGAAAATACTTGGCCAAATTAAACCAACCTCGGCCACAGTCATCCTTAGGGTATTTATATTAAAAGATGTGTGCGATGATCCCGCCTTATAACCATCTTGACTATCAAGTCTTAAAATAGAATAAAGGTGTTAAATTCAAGAATAATCTATTATTTTTGAAACTATGTTTGATCGAAAAAAATATGACAGAAACGTCCAGAATGTCAAGATTTGCTAACTATAATCATTTGGACTAAAACTGTCAGACCACTTCTTATATGAGTTTTTGCCCTTAAATGACGATTTTTCACAACTTTTTTTTGCTATTTGGTTTCTATCTTTTCAACTATGGTAGATAATTTGAAGGACATGATCTTTAAATAAGTAAACATGGTCGAAATTGTCAGTTGACTCCTTATAGAGCATATGTCGTTGAAAGATGATTTCAGTGTTACCCATTTTTGTGTTTTTTTGCAGAAACTATTAGATAAATGGAAACTGTGAACAGCAAAATTGATCAGCAGGACGGACAAGATCTACAAATAATTTAACATGGCCGAATCGTCAGTCGAAAGAAGATTTTAAATCATTTTCTGTTTTTTTTGGCGTAAACTGTAGTAGATGGAGAGAATCTATAGGAAATAAAAATGATCAGCAGGACAAGATCTACAAATCAGTCGGCATAGCCGAAATTGTTTGTTTAATCCTTTTAGTTGTTGACCTTAAAAGACATTTTTTTCCATTTTTAGTTTTTTTGCAGAAATTTTAGTAGATTGAAAGAAACTGTATACAGCAAAATTGACCAGCAGTACAAATTCTACTATTAAGTCAACATAGTCAGTTGAACCCTTATATGAGTTATTGCCCTTTAATGATGATTCTTAACCACTTAGATTTCGGAATATTATTAATCATATATCTAAAAAAGATAAAGCTGGATATTTTTTTCATAATATGAAAAATATGACTGGTTTCAAGTATTATGCAGTCATATCTTAACAATGTTATACATGCTACTGACCTAGATTATGGGAAAGGGTTGCATTCATGAGCTTACAGTGTATTTCACAAACCATGATTCTGTGATTTCAAGGTTACATTTTTCATTGCTTATATTAGACCATTGGCCAGTTCCATAAATAATCACAAATTTTCAGTTTATGGCAATTGAATTTAAAAAGTACCAGTGCTTTATTTTCTTTACTATTTTGTTTTAATTTGACTGTTGTAAGTTATAACATTGTTATAAATAATTTTTCATTAAGTTGTGCAGTAGAATTTGTAGCTTGAATTGAATATTGAGTTATTCACCTTTGCACACAGATTTTTACATTAATTTGAATTCAAACTTGTATTTAAACCTTTGTATAGTAGGAGCCAGAATATATCCCACGTGAGGACACTTGTGTTTAGTTGTTGTTGATTGATTGATTGTTGGTTGTTAAACGCAAATATTTCATGCATGTTCAAGACGAGAACAAATTTACAATAAATATAATAGGTAGGTCCTATAAAAGAGGCTGTCTGGGATAAAGGTCGGGGGAAATTTAGACTGCCCTTGGAAAATGAGTTTAATGGATAGGGACAGAATTTTGCCTTGCAACAGGCCACCTGAAGACCCCTAAAAGAGTTGTTACAAGGGTTCTTAACGTGCAGAGAGTGTGACACTCTCTCTACACGAGACATCGGATTTAACGTCCCCATTCTGACCGGACGTGGCTGCGTACTTGTACAAACCGTACAGCCAAACGGATGCCCCACTTTGACAATGGTTCTACTGTCGATCGGAAGAAGACCTGTAGTGGCCATATTTCTATTCCCCAGTCACCCTTGGGGGCTTATTAAAGTTGTGAATGATGATGTACTTGTTTGTACCTCCATTGTTATTGTTTAGGTATTTTTCTATTGAATTGATTTTCTACTTTGTTATGGTGTTTTGCATTGAATTTTATTTTAACATCAGCTGCTCTTCATATGTGCTTCCTTTTACTTTCAAGGACTTTTGTTGGTTTTTCTCCTTCTTTTTGGCAGCCATATTAACAAATTTGCAAGGGTTCCGCGGAACCCAGTGTCTCGCCTACTTTTGCTGTTAGTCACAGGCTCAACAAAAATGGGGAAAAAATATTAAAAATTTTTCCTCTAGATACTATCTTTTGATTGTAAGAAGTTCTGTTCAAGTTTGGTAAAAATCCAAGAAGGTTTATGAATCTAATAAATGTTTTAAAAACTTTAACTGCAGACTGTATGTAATGTTAACTGGAATAAAACTAAGTCCATCTATAAGTAAAATACGGATAAACAGGATTTTTTTTACAAAATTTTCATCTGGATACTATCTTATGATTATAAACAATCTTTTGTCCAAGTTTGGTACAAATCTAGGATAGTTTAAAAAGTTATTAAAATTTCAAAAACTTTAACCACAGAGTGAATGTAATGTTAACTGGCAAAAAAACTAAGTCCATTTATGAGTAAAATAGGGAAAAACAGGATTTTTTTTTTTACAAAACTTTCTTCTGGATACTATCTTATGATCATAACCAAGCTTCTGTCCAAGTTTGGTTGAAATGCAGGATAGTTTAAGAAAGTTATTAAAATTTCAAAAAATTTAACCACAGGGTGAATATTTGTGGACGACGCCGACGGAATGTAGGATCGCTATGTCTCGCTTTTGCGACAAAAGTCGCAGGCTGGACAAAAATGGATGTTGTATGATTGCCAATGAGACAACTATTCACCAAAGTCTTTATGATGTGGATGTAAGTAACTATAGGTCACTATACTGAATTCAACAATGAATAAAACCTATACTGTACAGTCATTCAGGAAAGGCCCGACTTGACAAAATGTGAAACAATTCAAACGAGAAAATTATCAGCCTGATTTATGACAAAACAATGACCAAAAAACAAGTATACCAGTCAGTAACCAATGACAACCACTGAATTACAGACTCATGGCTTGGGACACTAAGATAAAGAATGTAGGGGGTTATACATACAACACAAATAAGAACAACTATTAAATTAAGTTTGCAAGGGCTCAACTCATCAGATTGGTACTTAGCACAAATATAACTTAAAGAAAGACAAAGGACACCAATTATCAATCTAAGAATACTCATAGTTACTGAAAGCTAGTTCAATGCCAAACTTTAAGTAATAAATAAATGTTTTTCCTGACTATGATATCAATCATTTCACATCCAGCAGATTTAATGAAGAAATGTCATAGCAGTCTGAGAAAAACATTACCTTGTGTAATGCCAAAATACAAGTATGGACAAGCTGTAAATGCATGATTAGTTCTGTATGTTAGTACTGATATAGACAATATTCAAAGATCTTTACTATAATGTTCAATTGATAACCTTAAAGAATATATTTATTCAAAGGATCACTAATAAGTTAACATAAATCGTTTCTGAATTGACAAGATTTATAAACAACATCAACGTAAAAATAAGAATGTGGTATTCCATTAAAAAGGTACAGTCATATTTCAAATCATTGTACCTAGTAAAGGTTTTTTTTAAAGTAATTTGTAGTATTACAATCTGTGACTTTATAAATTAACAGTTTTACATAGATTTTGTTCATTGAAATCTTAAAACATCACTCCAGACACAGGCATTGTGAATGAGTAGGGAAATGTAAACACTGTAAGATGGGGCCAAAGTAGTATCACCGTTCAAAAAAAGGAAAATTAACAATAGGAAACCAAAATTCATCTCTTTTGATGTAAAACTTTTAATGTTTCCCATGAGAAACTAAAATATCCATACTAAGATAGGGACAATATCTACTGTTTGTAATTAGATTTATTTAAAAGTCAGGTCTGTTGGGGTAAATTTCCCCCGTATAAATAATTTGATGATTCTCGATATAAAGCAAAAATACCATCAATATAAAAGTAAGTATTTTTTAGCATTAAATGGAAGTTCAAAGTGGCATAACCCTGGAATTTGTCAACGCAGGTTGCCATGCTTTCCCTTTGTGCTGCAAAGTTGACACTTCATAATTAGTACAAAGTTTGATTGAAATAGACTAAGCTGTGAAATATTAGTTTGGAAGGACTGACAGTCAGAATGATAGATTCCAATATACCTACTTTGTTTGCATGTGATATCAAAATAAAACTGCACTGTATGCTAAAATCTAACAGAAGGGTGGTGACAAAGGTACAGAGAGAAAGACAGTAATCTTTATAAGTTATCCTTTTTAGCTCAGCTGCAACAAAATGACGACAATATGTATCAACATCAATACTTTATTATGAAAGATTTACAAAAAGCATTTGAAATATCTATACATACAAACATAAATAGAAGTTGAGATTCTATACAAACATTAGTGAGGGGCCTGATGGGTTATTTTCGTTCTTCGTGATCGGCGCATTTTCGCTATCGTGATCCGTTTTTCTACAGATTTATTTCTCTTTTTATATTTTCGTGATCCGTGATCATGGAAATTTATTTTCTGTGAATCGTGATTGACAAAAACATCAACTCGTGAATCGTGATGAGACCCCCCCATCAGGCCCCTTATTAGTCTTATACCCTGCCTACATACTGATAGTGTGTTAGATTGTGCTGCATGTTAACAAAGGAACATTGATTTTTCATTGTTTGAAATTCAAAGGAAGTTAATATGAAATCAGCATTATATATATCATGTATATCCTGTATATATTAATCTGTTTTACTTTACCTGAAAAAATACCAACAGTGGTCTTAAAATAAAAAATATAATCTAGGGAATTTACCTTTTTAAATCATATTTAATGAAAATAGTCCATCACAAATTTTAATATTTTTTAATTAATACTGATTTTGACTTTTGTCAGGAAAATGTTAATACTTTCTTTAATATTTTAATAGGCAATATCTTTATTCTAAAATTGGTTTTCAAAATCTTTTAAAATGACACAAAAGAATATTGTTTTAACTCCCATATCAGAGTCAGTGCACCTTAGCAACAATTCATAGGGATTTGTTTAAAACATGCCAACAAAAGTTGCTCGATTGTATAATACATTATATTATGAAAATTAATGACTAATAAATAATCAACATTTTTTTAAAAATAAATAAGTCTGTACATATGTGATTAAACTACATAATGAAAGCTATTCCATGCAACAAAAACACAAAATGTATACAAAAAGGCACATGAATTACTATAATGTGTTTTTATATGATATATGTAATCTGAATCAAAAAATAATTTTGAACATGTGCAAATTTGTTATTCAATTAAAAATAATGTGCAAATCGCAAGACTCAAATATCTTTGATAAAAATATGATATTGTTTTAGTGTAGTTAGGTTGCTGTCTAGTTAAGTCTTATTTTCATAACTTAATAATAAAATTCAAAGTGGATTTAAAAAAAAAACAGAAATGTTTTAGAAGTATGACTTATGTCTGACTCAAAGGTAGTGAATACTTAAATATATAAATATATATATATGTGTATATATGGTTACTTGAAAGTTACTTCTTATTTTTTGACTTCCCTCTAATCATAAATAGTTACATTTATTTCCTGTCCTTATAACTAACTTCACACAAAAATAAAATTTTAAAAGGAAATTGTATTCTGTTTCTATTTAAATAAATTAGTTCATGCTTCTGAGAAAACATACATAAAATTTAATCTGCTAAATGATTGAAAAAAACTTAAAATTTTTATATCATCGCTGGGCTTCCAAAATGTGGTATATGACAAATTTTTCAACAACAAAAAAAATCTTACAAACAGGCTTTGAAAATTTGTTCGAAATATTTGCTTCCAAAATGTTGTATGTGAACTTGAACATTTTTGTATATGGCTGTGAAATAAAAACTTGGACATTTCTGGATAATATAAAATCTAACATTATTTTCACATAAATAAAGAAATCTACCAGTTTTTGATTCCCAAAGTCATTTTACAACTATTTTCAAGTTTATATAAGACATTTTGGAACCAAACTTTACAAACAATTGAGATTGGCAATTTTGTCACATGTCTTATTTCAATTGTTTTGATTGGTCTGAATGTGTGATATTTTGGAATATCAGAGATTTCCTCCCGCCAAGCCGGTTTGTGTGAAAAAGTAATTTTGACAGATAAAGTCATATACGACATATTGGAAGCCCAGCGACGATATGCTAAATAAATTAATGCAAATTATATTTCAAAACCTTTCTTAGGGATAATATTTTTATTTTTGAAAACAAGTTCTTGGCATTCTTTGTACATTCTCTACACCATTAATTGTTCATATTGCAATTCTATATCTGTGTATATTGAGTTTAATTATTACTTATTTTCATCTCTAATGGCAATACAATAAACTCTGGCAGTGTAAATAATGTAATTATTATAGATTGTAAAAATTCTAGTCTATTATCCAAAATTTTTTTAATTTCCCACAATGCCGTCTGGTATGTAAATAAAGTTTTTAATTAAGTTTGAAGTAACTATATAATTACATGTTCAAAATTGATCTAAACAGGAAAAATCCATTAAGCAATTACTGATTTTATTAAAAAGGAAAAATCCAATATCTTGTATACTGAAATAGTTTTCACTGAATGTTCTCTTGAGGCATCCCAAAAGAATATCTGTGCTGCTAGTTTTCTTCGGTTTTTTCATTTTGTATGTGTGTGCCAAGCACCTTTTATGATTGGTTATCTTATTGAAATTCAATTTTCATGGAGAAACAAACTGCTGCTTTCCCAGTAAGCAGTTATCAAACATTACAATGCCTCTCATTGTCTCTTAATTCTGTGCTGTTTTCCTTGTAATTTAAAGTTTTCTTGTAACAAGTTTACTGTTGGTGTTTCCTCTTATCAAAATACCTAAATCTTTTTTTTTAACATAGATGATATTTAATAAAAAATTTGTTTTGCCAAATTGTTATAAATCACATTTTTACACTATACAAGATAACATCAAATTTAAACAACACAAATAATTTGCATATGTTAATTCTGGCACACATGATAAAAGACGGAGATCAATTCACGTGATTATGATGGTTCTAGATGCGACATACTGGCCAGAATTCTGTTGTAGAGAGTCAAGTCGAATAATTGATACCACGGATAGGATTTCAATCAAAAACATCATTTCACTCCATAGAAAAAATGTAGCTGCGTTTAACTTGTAACTAAAGAAAATTCTTAAAAAATTTCTAAAAAAAAAAATTTGCACTGTGCCCATTCTACTGTCATTTTGGAAATAAAACACAAAACCTTTCCATATAAGATGGTTCCCTGAAAAGCAAAATAAAACATAACTGGTAAAACCTTATGATATATATATAGATGTAACATATACATTTTTGTAACACTCCATTATAAACAGCAATGTATCTGATATACTAATATGTATGAAAATTTTAAAGGGTCAAAGGTGAAAAGACATACATAGTAAATTAACATTTAACAAACACAAAGAGTAATCTTTTTTTTTTAAATTTTGGTCTGCCACTATGCTGGTTTATTGTTGCCCTTAAACATTTGTGCCAAATTTGTCATGGATATTTATAAAGTTTTTATGTAAAAATCTCATTCTGAATAGCTAGTTGAGTAACTGACAATTTAAGAAGTGAGGGGACTCCCAAATGAAATTGCATATCATATAGTTATAAAGGGACATAACTGAAGAACGGTAAAAGTGACGCTACCCTAATTTGAACTTGATCTGAGTTTTGGTTGAGGCTAACTTAAGTAGAGAACAGAAACTAAAAATTCAGCAATTTTTCTATTTATAAAAGGGCATAACACTAGATTGGTTAAAGTGACGCCACCAAAATTCAAACTTGATCTGTGTTTTGTGGTAATAAGCATTGTGTATAAGTTTCATAACATTTGGTTGAGGCAAACTTAAGTTACAGAACAGAAACTAAAAATTCAGCAATTTTTCTATTTATAAAAGGGCATAACTCTAGATCGGTTAAAGTGACGCCACCAAAATTCAAACTTGATCTGTGTTTTGTGGTAATAAGCATTGTGTATAAGTTTCATAACATTTGGTTGAGGCAAACTTAAGTTACAGAACTGAAACTAAACATTTTGCAATTTTTCTATTTATAAAGGGCATAACTCTAGAACGGTTAACGTGACGCCACCAAAATTCAAACTTGATCTGTGTTATGTGATAATAAGCATTGTGTATAAGTTTCGTAACATTTGGTTGAGGCAAACTCAAGTTAGAGAACGGAAACCAATTTTGGGACGTACGTATGTACAGAAGGACAAGGGTAAAACTTAATGCCCCCACCGCTACAGCGGGGGCATAAACATCTAGAGATAATTTTTTAACTAGCTTTCAGTTAACGTTACTGTGAGTACTCTTATATCAGTTCTTGTCTATTGTTTTAAGTTATTTGTTTATTGTATTTTGTACCGATTAACCAATCAATTGAGAGAAGCCATCTGCAATTGATTTTTACAGTTTGTGCTTATGTTGTGCTATTGGGTGCGAGACAACTCGGCCCAAAGACAACTCGGACTGTCTATGAAGTCATCTCGGACCATCTTCAAGTCAACTCATCTATAATACCAACATAGACAAAGTATAAAAAAAGAGTTTTAACTATATAAATGATTTAATGAGTGTCTTCGAGGAAAAAGACTCTGTCTGAAGTGAAGTTGGACCGTCTATAACACAAAGAATATAGAGAGAGTTTTGACTATATAAATGGTGAAAAAGACAAATTGGATCGTCTATATAGACAATTCAAGATCACGACTTTGAGATTCAGGGTAATTTATATTTGACATGCATCTGTCTATTGTCATGATTCAATAACCCTCCCTAAATTTATTTTTATTTCTATTCTTTGAAAGCTGTATGAGTAAATAATGTTTGTAATGTTTTGGTCATTCTTTGATTTCTTTCTTGATAAATATAATCTTATCCTCAATTATTTTAAAGTACTGTGTTATTAGTCCAGGCATTTTCCAATTTCAAAATGAAACAATAACTATAAAATATACATACATATCTTTATTTCATCAAAGAAATAATTTCAAGTCAAGTAACAAAATATAGAATCACTATGATGAACTAATAAGTAGAAATTAGAATTTACATTAAATCAATTATTGTACAGCACTTTATTTGGTGTAAAGGATACTTGTGTGTGAAATATCATTTGGTGTAAAGGATACTTGTATGTGAAATATCATTTGGTGTAAAGGATACTTGTATGTGAAATATAACATTTTATAATCTAAGTAGCTCAAACTCTTATGTTTATACTTTGTTAGAGACGGCATAATAGACGGTTGGAGTTCACTTGAACTAGAGGCTCTAAAGAGCCTGAATCGCTCACCTTGGTCTATGTGCATATTAAACAAAGGACACAGATGGATTCATGACAAAATTGTGTTTTGGTGATGGTGATGTGTTTGTAGATCTTACTTTACTGAACATTCTTGCTGCTTACAATTATCTCTATCTATAATGAACTTGGCCCAGTAGTTACAGTGGAAAATATTTTGTAAAAATTTACAAATTTATGAAAATTGAAAAAAATTGACTATAAAGGGCAATAACTCCTTAAGGGGTCAATTGACAATTTTGGTCATTTGACTTATTTGTAGATCTTACTTTGCTGTACATTATTGCTGTTAACAGTTTATCTCTATCTATAATAATATTCAAGATAATAACCAAAAGCTGCAAAATTTTCTTAAAATTACCAATTCAGGGGCAGCAACCCAACAACATGTTGCCTGATTGGTCTGAAAATTTCAGGGCAGATAGATCTTGACCTAATGAACAATTTATCCTTGTCAGATTTGCTCTAAATGCTTTGGTTTCAGACATGTCAGAGATATGAGCCAAAAACTGCATTTTACCCTATGTACTATTTTTTAGCCATGTCAGCCATCTTGGTTCGCGGGCGGGGTCATCAGACACATTTTTAAAACTAGATACCCCAATGATGATTGTGGCCAAGTTTCGTCAAATTTGGCCCAGTAGTTTCAGAGAAGATTTTTGTAAAAGTTTACGGACGACAGACGCAGGACGCAGGACGACGGATGCCAAGTGATGAGAAAAGCTCACTTGGCTCTTTGGGCCAGGTGAGCTAAAAAGGCAGTCAGAGGTTACTTTGACTTAGGATACTTGGAAAATTGTAATTATTACGATTACAGATTAGGATTACTGTATTCCTGAACCAGAAATAGAAATACAATTACCATAATACTCACCAAGACTATTAACTGTACAAAATTATAAAATAGCACATGATTTCTGGTCTCTGAATGGGTTATCTGACTGGTTCACACCTATAACTAAAGCATCTCCTTGGGAATGCTCTGTGATGTAACTCTTCATACTGAAATAAAATAACAAAGTAACAGTAAACAGACTGGTTCACTCTGATAACTTAAGTATCTCTTTGGGAATGCTCTTTGATGTTATTCTTCGTACTGAAATAAAATAACAAAGTAACAGTAAACAGACTGGTTCACTCTGATAACTTAAGTATCTCTTTGGGAATGCTCTTTGATGTTATTCTTCTCACTGAAATAAAATAACAAAGTAACAGTAAACAGACTGGTTCACTCTGATAACTTAAGTATCTCTTTGGGAATGCTCTTTGATGTTATTCTTCTCACTGAAATAATCAAAGTGCTTGTGAGCGCATAAATGATAAATGTATAACCTACATGTACCATTTACAACCAGAAATCATGATTTAAATGTTATTAATAAAAGTTTATTATGCAGACACAATCTATTGTGAAACTCATTTGACACATGACATTATTCTATTTGTCATGTTTGTGGTAATATCGTTAACAAATTTATCATACTAATAACTTTTATTGATTTTTTTCATAATGGCGAACTCAAGGCCTTGCATATAATAATTCTGTTATAAATAATTTACTGAATTTGGCTACATTCAAGAAGCGATAAAATGAATAATTTAAGAAAAAAAAAAATTAGCATCAAGAAATCTAACTTTTAATTATTTCAAATTAATAAATATAGAAATTTGCATCAAAGTGCCTTTAAAATATACATGATTTAAGTGATTCTCTAAAATAAAGATATGAATGTTCTAAAATGCCTGTAAAAATTGATATCAAAATATGACCTTTTACAATAATGCAAACAAAATGTGCTTATCAATGAAAGCGATAATGGAAAATAGATAAAATTCCACCATTCTATTGAACAGAAATACATGTCATTTGCTGTAAGATATATCATAAATATAACTTGCAATTAGATCCATCTTTCAATATGTGTGATACTCTTTTATATTTTTGACTTTTCTGTTGTCAGATTGTAGAGTTTCTGCATTGTCATGACAGTCAGTAACAGAAGATCAGTTCATAGTTTTAAATAGCAGCAAAATTTGAAACATTATAAAACAACAAAATATTAACTGCATATTATATATTGACTTTTGTTCTATAAATTTATACATGTTATATGTTTACAAAGTTTATAAACTTTCTTGATGCTAAATTTTTCTTCTTGTCACTTCCTTTCTAAAATTAGTGAGACCAGGGGATTTGATGCTTTACGAAGAAGCCTTCAAGGTCATAGACTTTATTGTTTTTTGGCAATATGTGACATTTGATCACCAGAGAATTTATAACACTTAAACAATAACTTTTCTTTTGTGGCGTCAAGACATTTTCTCTTGTGACATGTTTTTTTCAAGAACTGCTGTGATGTCTAGTAATGGCAATATATAGCTGAATGTACAAGTATAAGTATAAATATAAGAAGATTTGGTATGATTGCCAGTGATTCTCCACCACAGACCAAATAATGTAGAAGTTAACAACTATAGGTCACTGTACGGCCTTCAACAATAAGGGAAAACCTATACCACATAGTACATGTAAGCTTTAAATGGTCTATTTCTACCATCTCTCATGTACAATATGTACATGTGGGATCAGGACAACTCGGATCAAGACAACTCTGGATTTTAAAATTTATTTCTCTTATTTTACATTTCCAGAGATTCTGTATCATAGCTTGGGTTGAATGTGTTGCCTTTTTCTTGTGCAATGTACCATCTCAATTTCTCCTCATCAACCATCAAAACTTGATCGAACATTAGATTGACCAAAAACACCTGTTTAATTAGCGGGTACAATGTATATTGATTTCGATGGATTGGTCATACTCAAAATGATTACATCTCTTTGACTTGAGTTCCATAAAATTAATGCATTTTGATAATCATTTCTGTCACGATTGATTAGTTAATGCCTAAAGAGATCAATTAGACTGATCATCTCATGAACTCATTGAAAATAAGTAATTTAAGTAACTGACAGTTGTATATTTTGTTAAAAATATCTCTGATGATGAATACATACATCCATAAAATATATTAACCAACAAAAACACTTTACATGCAATGAAAATAAAAGAAGTGGTCCTAGTAGTCTATTAAACTTTTCTGTATTGCCTTTAAAAGTGGCCCAATTTGACTTTTAAAAGTGGACTGTCCGACAGAGTTGTCTTTAAAAGTGAGCCGAGTTGTTTTTGAAAGTGGTCCGAGTTGTCTTAAAAGCAGTCTAAGTTGTCTTGGTCCGACTTGTCTTTGGTATGAGTTGTCATGTATCTTCTTACATCAGGAACAGATATACTGTAGTGGAAGCTAACAGAGACAGTTGTTGGACAGAAATTGGATGTTTTAACTCACATGAGGAATAGACTTTTTAATTGTGAAGTTTTGTGATTGGACAAGAAAGACTTTTAAATCTAGTAGTGTGACATTTATAGTTATGAGTACTGTACATTACATGTTTTTATAGGTGGTTGGTAAGATGTGTATATAATCTACTTATATGATGCTGTACAGACTAATTCTACTGTGTAGTGCGAAGATATAAACATAGGCCCGCGTATGCAGAAGAAGTTTTATACATATTTTTAAACCTGTTGCTCTGATTATACAGATAACCTGTGGTGCTCCAGATAGTGGAGGGATCTACTAAAAAGAAAGAAAGAAAGTTCCCAGCTTACATGTATACATATATATTATACACCAATATTTTTTGGCAGGTCTCAGTCAGCGGTCATAGCATTGCAACACATGCGTTCCTGTATAATATTATTAATATGCCAGGTGACAGAAACTTGTCCTTGACCACTAATACTAGAGGGGCCTGATGGGTTATTTTCGTTCTTCGTGATTGGTGTATTTTCGCTATCGTGATCCGTTTTTCTACAGATTTATTTTTTTTTTTATATTTTCGTGATCCGTGATCATGGAAATTTATTTTCTGTGAATCGTGATTGACAAAAAAATCAACTCGTGAATCGTGATGAGACCCCCCCATCAGGCCCCTCATACTACACAAGTGCTAAACATGAGCTCCAGGATGTTTTGGAAACAACAACCCTCCCCCTTTTCTATAAACTGCTCGACTTCGCAAAATCTTTCTATCTTACACTTCAATTGCTTGTGAGACAGGTATTCTTTCAACTTTAGCTTCTTCTCTCAGCTGTGTTAGCTGTTTTTGTAATCTCTGTACTGCACTAGACATGGTTTTTGTTTTGCAGCTTCTTCAAACAATCGTTCAATCTGAATCAATTAACTCTTCTCGCAGACATCGTGATTTCACGTGATTCAAAATGTCTGCGCCCAAGTCTTAGAAGCGACAACAAACAAATTTTAACGATGACATCGTCCATTATGAAACAAGCTTTGATTGTACCAAACCCTCAATGTCAGACAATAAGGTTCATTATGCTATTCATATATCTACAAATATCGTTAATTACAAGTAGCTTACATCAGTTTTGAAAAGGTGGTAAAGGGTTATGAAAAGGTGGTAAAGGGTTAATATTGGGAAGCAAGTTAACTCGTACCACGTAAACTCGTACCAACGTAAACTCGTACCACTGGGAAGTCGTACCAATCAGAACTCGTACCACTGCAAACACGTACCATTAAAAATATATTCAAAAATACGAATGTTTTATGATTTTTTTTTTTGGTAAACTAAATAAAAAAAAGTTGAATTACTTGAATTTTATACTAGATTTTAATGAAAACTTAGACAAAAATACGAATGTTTTATGATTGTTTTTTTTTTTTTTTAGCTTTATACAAAAAATTAAAATATCTTTGAATTTTTACCAGATTTTAATGAAAACTTAGACAAAAATACGAATTAGCATGCTAATAAATATTTTAAATTCTTTTGATTGTGTGATTATTGGTTGATTATTATCTATTCAACTTGTTAAATCATATTAGCATGGTCATGTTCTGCATGAATGTGCTGAATATTGTATAAAAATAAATTTCATACTTTCTAACTGTTGGTCATAAACAATTTTAAACCTTTAAAACACAATAAATAAATTCTTTCATTAAATAAAATTCCTTTTAGAAACAATAGAAAAATACCCAAATCTATTCAATGTTACTGATTTGGAATGATTAAAAATTAAATCAAATAGTTGTCAGTAAAAGTTTAAAAAAGAGTCTATTCAAGGGAGACAACAAAGCCAATCTGCCACGGTTTTCTCTATCCAATTAGACAAGGAAAATTAGCTACAAATTGGTCATTGTAATTTCAAATTATATACATTTTACAGACTTAAGAGGTATTGAGTGAAATTAAAGTATAATACTCATCAATAAACACCATTTGAATGCATTTAAATAATTTGGTATGAGTTTACAATGGTATGAATTTACCTTGGTAAGAGTTAGCAGTGGTACGAGTTTGCATTGGTACGAGTTTTTTTTTAGTGGTACGAGTTGACATGGGTACGAGTTTACAATGGTACGAGATAACTATAATTCTTAATATTGCATATAATTTATATATGTATGTGTAACAAAAAATTTGTTCCGGCGTGACATTTGTTCCGCTGGAACAAATTTCATAGGAAATATGTTCCACCGGACTTTATATCACAGAAAATATGTTCCAGCACTGTAAAATTTGTTCCGGAACTAATTTTATTACCAAATGTAAAATAAGTTCCGGAACAAAAATCATAATAGCTCCATGAATTTTGTTCCAATTAATATTAAGAGTTTTAAAAAGTTAAATAAGTTCCTGTGATATTTGTTTTAAACGAACGTTTACATCATGTGCATATTTACTTAGAAATCAATGAATAAGTTCCGCTCAAACCTATTTTCACAGAAAATAAGTACCTTTGCAACAAATTGCAAGTGAAATATTTTCTTGTTACATTTAAATTATAATGCAAGCTGAGTGCTGTACTGAGTGTGCTTGCATGCATGGAATACATTTGCAATTGAAAGCATGACTGTAACTAAAGGATGAAGATAAGAAATAAAAGCGATGGTAATGTATCATAATTTGTATTTATGTTTTATACGGTATTCCTCCTTGGTTTTTGTTAACTGTCATGGCCACGTGTTCTAGTCATACATGTACTTAGGTCATAGCACAGTTTCAAAAGAGTGTGTCTTTTGTTTTTACATGTCTTTTGATAAAACTGATCAGTCACTTTGTCCTTTTCAAATAAGTACATATGTTCATCTTTAACTATACTTTTTTTCTGAATGATTGATTTTTCTTATTCTACTCTTTTCTGGCTGAAGTGTCATTTTGATATTTTTTACGGAGTATATAATTAAACATTTGCTATACTCCACAGGATCCGAATTGGATGATTTATATTTTTTACTTTTTTTATTATTGATATAATACTTATTTTTATAATGCACTTGAATGATAACTTTAAACTCACTGATGACAAATGCTCAGTATATAAGATAATTTGTTTAACCAGTGGAACATATTTCACAGACAAGGAACTTATTTCACCAGGTGAGGAACAAATCTCACAAACCCAGAACTTATTTCACCAGATAAGGAACAAATCTCATAAACCCGGAACTTATTTCACCAGGTGAGGAACAAATTTCACCAACCCAGTACTTATTTCACCAGGTAAAGTGTGGAACTTATTTCATAGAGATGGAACAAATTATATAGAAATCATCTGTGAAAAAAGTTCTCCCAGAACATATTTCCTGTGATATTAGTTCCACTGGAACTTTTTTCACAGGAACAAATTTTGGCTCACATATGCTCAGTTTCTTCCTCCTTCTTCTTCTTCTTCTTCTTCTTCTATACGTATTAACCTCCAATCATGGATAACCATCTCATTGGAATTATTTCCGAATGAGGAGTTATAAAACTATGAATATATGTAAGCCTCAAATCTATGTCCAGCCTCAAATCTATGTCCTTTCCGCAAATCTATGTCCTTTTTAATATTGCGTCATAGACGTTCCAAATTTATGTCCTTTGTTGTCTCAAATCTATGTCTTTTATTGTCTCAAATCTATGTCCTGCATTGTCTCAAATCTATGTCCTAAATGTGGTGACGTAAGACATAGCAAGACGTAATCAAGTAAAAAAAAATGTGTAGTTTCAATCTTGAAAGTAACATGTATGCTCGTTATGCCAATAATTTGTACACTGAATTATGTTGTGGTTGTTGAATGTTGATGTCATGGTACACAATGGATTTTAAAAAATACATAGATTTGAAACTGGAATAATTTCACCAGAAAAAATATCAACTTTTTTAATAATCAAGATAGTGGCACAAAATGTCGTTGTTAAACACAATGAATTATACCCTAAATATTTTATGTGGTATCTATACATTGAAACATTGAACAAAACGTTTGTAAATAGGTGTATGTGTTTATAGCTTACAATACAGAATAGGTTTGATTTCATTGTTGACGGCCATACATGTATACAGATGTCATTTTGTCTCAGGTTGTTTATTAATTTAGATTTCAAGACGTAATGAGTAAAGGGAAGTAACGATTATTACTACAGAACAATTAACGGGATCAGGAAAAGCAAACAATTTGAATATGTTGTAGTTTTACAATAAAATGTAAATCATACAATAATTACACACGCATGTAAAAATTTTAAGCACACACCCCAACTTAACATTGAATTATTGGAAATGACTTAATAAAACAAAAATCCTATAAGGCTGTACTTATTAGACGGGCATAAATTTGTGCATGGCGAAACAAACTGGAAAAAGATTTAAGGAAAGGACACAGATTTGAGGCTCTATCTTTTTTAACGGACATAGATTAGCGATTGACGTCACGATGGGGCACAGATTTGAGAAACGGACACAGATTTGAGGCCGTACACAGATCTGAGGCTTACATATATATACACTAAAATCTAAAGTTCACGGATTAAAATATAAAAAAAGAAATCACTAAAGCTTTAAACAATAAAGAAAAAAAAGAGGGACACCCCTACCTCTACCTTATCACATATGTACAAACAGCTCATATTACAAATGTTCAGTGCGCCTTTATAAGGAGCACCACATTGTCAACGTATATTTGTTCCGCCTAACAGAAGTTCCATTGGAAACTTTGTTATAAACAATGTCATAATATCTTTTCCTGTTGGAACAAATATTCTATACCATTTATTACGTTAGGAACATTTACTGTAATATTTATTCCAGTGGAAACAATATTCCAGAATATTGTTTCCATTTGGAACTTATATTATGAAGGAACTTCTATTCTGTGACACCATGTGTAACCTTGTAAAGGAGAATATCTAGCACACTTAATCTGCACAGATTAAATGTGAGCATTTGCCTACCCAGTTCCCAAGCCTTGCCATGAACCTGCCTCAAAACAATTTTAAATTTAAAGCGATAAAACACACACATCTGATTTGCTCATCCTTAAAATAAAAAAAATGCAATACAATATATATACAAAATAGGGGCCAAGGTCACCCCAGATGCTGTACAAATGCTATGGAAACCTGTGAGGACAATCTTAGATTCCATACTAATACTGCTTTATATTTATTAATAAACTACCACGGTTGACCTGGGGTCATTTGGGGGAAAATGCCTCATAGAACATTGTGACGTAAAGATAGTTGCTTTGTGAGGTCACGTTTTTGGGAAAAAGCATCAGTTGGAAGATCATGTATTCCTGGTATAGGGTACTGTACATGTACATTCTAGATATATAGATTAAGGTTAAAGTTTGTTACACATCAATTACTTTGTCAAACCTTCATAGAATTTTTTTCATTTTGCTACGATAAAGAGATAATCTGAAGCAAAATTTTGAAAATATATTTTTTTCATTTTGTTTTGTAGTATTTTACTGATAGATGGACTTAGTTTTTGGCAGCTAACATTTACAGACAGTATGGCACTAATAATTTTTTTGACATGAAAAATTTGTAAACCTTCATTAATTGTTATCAAACTTGGACAGAAGCTTATCTTCAACATCAAGGATAAGCATTAACAAAAATGGTTTCATTCTTTTTTGAATCTGTATTTTACTGATCAATGGACTCACTTTTTACAGTCAGTACACTTTTAAACCGACAGCAGCAATTGCAGGCGAGACACTTTAAATTTAATCTCAAAATGCTTAACAAAGTGACAATAGGGAAGCAACAAAATGAGTCTTGTTTGCAAATTAAAATTGAATTGCAAGTTGTTTTGAATGATTGTTAAAATGTATCAATAAAGGTAAATACATGCAGATAGATTCAGTTGTTTTATAGTAGATACTTTGTATTCCTGTACACTGTAGTGCAAATCAATGAAGAATAATTATCTGGTAGCAGCAATATATCATAAATATTAGAAATTTTCAAAACACTATCAGATATATATGTAATCCTCAAGTCTATGTCCAGCCTCAAATCTGTGTCCTTTCCATAGATCTGTATGTGTCTTATTCTATATTGCGTCATAGACGTCACAAATTGATGTCCTGTTTTTATACGACTGCAAAAAATTTTGCGGTCGTATATTGGTATCATGTTGTTGTCGTCAGCTTCGTCCGAAAACATTTGGTTTCCGGACAATAACTTTAGTAAATGTAAATAGAAATCTATGAAATTCAAACACAAGGTTTATAACCACAAAAGGAAGGTTGGAATTGATTTTGGGGGTTATAGTCCTAACAGTTTAGGAATTAGGGGCCAAAAAGGGGCCCAAATTAGCATTTTTCTAGTTTCCAGACAATAACTTGTGGAACGGTGTAATGATCTCTCGGAAATTATACCACAAGTTTCCATACCACAAAGGGATGGTTAGGATTGTCTTTGGGGGGTTATGGCTCAAACCGTTTAGGAATTAGGGGCAAAAAAGGGGGGAAAAACAAGGGTTTCCTGGTTAATGGACAATTAAAAAAAAGTACAATGTTATGTTTGGATTACCTTCCTTACACTGCTTTTAAATTATGTATAAAGAAAAGACCATATCTTGAGGGAAAGAATTTTTTTTTGAAAAAAGGTGGGAGGGGTAAAAAGAAATTGTGAAGGGGGGGGGGGACAATTTTTTCTCATTTCAGATTTCACAAATTAAAAAGAAAATTTCTTCAAATTTTGTAAAAAAAAGAGGGGGAGGGGGGTCAGTTCGGATCAGCATAGTGTATTGCACAAAAGCAAAAAAAAAAGGGGGTAAATTTTTTTTTTGTGGGGGGGGGGGGGGTCAATTTGCAACAGCATAGTGTATTACAGAAAAGCAAAAAATTGAATATAAATTCAAATCATTTAACCAATTCTAAGTTCTTTGACTACAGTTATTCTGTGTCAGAAACCTATTAATGTGTCAAATATTTAATTACAATCCAAATTCAGACCCGTATCAAGAGCAAATATTTGGTCCATTTTTGCCCCAACTGTTCAGGGTTGGACCTCTGTGGTCCTATCCAGCTGCGCTCGGCAAAGTAATTACATTAGTTTATTTATATATATTTATACACATAGTGCATATGTTTTTAACCTCAGTTACATGCTCTAAAAGTATACAAACACCCTTAAACAAGCAGTACAATTGTTTAAATTTTTTTTTCTGTCATAGAAAGCATTCATGTTAGAATCACTTGCACAATCTTTATTCAATATTCAAAAAGCAAAATCTACTCTCTCGCATACATAATGAATTAAATAAACTAACAATTATTTTGATTGAAAAAAAAATTGAATAGATTATTACAAATATTATATTACCAGGGAGCAATCACCAGTTAGTAAGCCTTCCACCAAGACCTTTAACTGTAACTGACATGTCACCTTATGTAATATAAACAAATCTGTTTTTAAATCTGAATAATTAATTATTATTTAGTGATGTACATGAATATTTGTTTTAACAGGATTTTGGACTTCACTATGATCTGGATTATCTCTGAGGTCAATATATAGGTCGGGTGCAAATTGATGGATGAATGTAATAAATTCTTTTATAACACAATACTTTTAAACTGTTCCACAGATTTAGGTAACTAAAAAAAGCCACAGATTAAACATATATATTTAATATATTCCTTTTGTGCTGCAATGTAAACAATAGGAGGGTTGAGCACAAACAAACATCTTTAACCCTGCCACATTCTTTATGTGCCTGGCCTAACTCATGCATGATCAGGAGCCTGTTTTTCAGTGGTTGTCATTGGTTCATGTATGTGATATTTGTTTTTCGCTGTGACCTTAAATTGCTTATATCTTCTTCAACTGAACTCTGGTGGATAGTTGTCTTATTGGCAATCATACCACATCTCATTTTTATATTAATTGTAAGTTTATGATGTATGCTTGATGTGATTTTAATCACATAGTGCAAAATTCTTCCTCCATGCTTCCATGAAAAAGGAAAATTAGCAGTCAGTAAGAAGTAATCGATTTAACATGTTTAATGCAGGCATCAAAATTATCATTGGTAATAAAAATAACAGGATCACTATCAACAGATGATACAGTACACATGTAAAAATAATAAAATATATATGCATCTAAAAAGTGTACAACACCATATAAGTAAATGAAAAAATACATATAAATTGTCCCTCCCCCCAAAAAAAATAATTGTTTGCATTTTATATTTCAGAAAAATACTAGAAGACAGTAAACTAACAGATATATCATGTAACTTTAAAGATTTTGGGGATGGTAAAATAGCAATACCACTGGACAATGAAACATCTGATAAAGTGGATAATTTATTAGTGGAGAGTAGTATGGTTTGTACCTGTAATACTGACAGTATTAACTTTGATTTACTCAGGACTTTACCGATGTCTGGATATCAGATAGCTCAGGTGAAATTTAGAGCTAAAAAACCTAAACCAAAAACGCCATATGAAGAACTTGTGTTGAGTCTTACTGATCTGGCTCATAAATATGATATACTTATGACTGAACAGTTACAGAGAGATATTCCACACCACTGGGAAAAACATGGAGATCTTGCACTACTACCACCAAACTGCTTTTGTGATGATAATTGGAAAAAAGCAGGTAACACTCCTTGCATATGATTGTATGAAATACTTTTTCTGTATTTTGATTCTTTCAAACAAATTTTTCTCTAATTTTTTACATTAGTTTCCCTCGGTATTAATGCATATATGTAGTTTGCTTACAGTAACCAATCAACACATCTAGAATCTCAGGTGTTTTATTTAAAGGGCAAGCGATACAGTGGTAGGGGCAGATAATACCACATCCAAATTTAATGCGATTATTTTTAATGTTTCTGATAATAAACATCCAAAATTCCTGGAAAATTAACTAACGTCATCTAATGGGTTACGCGAAATTAAAGTATTCATGGTATTTGTAATGGAAAACAAATATGCTGTACATTAAAGCATGTGAAATATACTGTGGAGGCCTAAAATCATGGAAAATGAAGATTGTTTACTCTTCTATCATCAATAGGTTCCAATTTAGGACAGTAATTCCATATCCTTTTGAGGTACTGCTGAATTAGATGCATAACAATGTTGCATAATAAAATACTGTAATATAATTTATCACCAAAAAGGGTAAAAGGGATCTCTAGCATTTAAAAACTAGGGGCTCTTTTCACAAAAAATCTTACGAGTAAAAATACTTGTAAGTCATGAACATTTCAGTATAACTTACGATCAATTTTAATCGTAAGATTTTTTGTGAAAAGTGTCGCAGGTTTTCTTTTGTTAGCTAAAAATAAGCACATGAACCTATATAAAATTAAATCCTCATTTTGGTGGCTAACTTTAACAACCTATATAAAATTAAATCCTCATTTTGGTGGCTAACTTTAACAACCTATATAAAATTAAATCCTCATTTTGGTGGCTAACTTTAACAACCTATATAAAATTAAATCCTCATTTTGGTGGCTAACTTTAACAACCTATATAAAATTAAATCCTCATTTTGGTGGCTAACTTTAACAACCTATATAAAATTAAATCCTCATTTTGGTGGCTAACTTTAACAACCTATATAAAATTAAATCCTCATTTTGGTGGCTAACTTTAACAACCTATATAAAATTAAATCCTCATTTTGGTGGCTAACTTTAACAACCTATATAAAATTAAATCCTCATTTTGGTGGCTAACTTTAACAACCTATATAAAATTAAATCCTCATTTTGGTGGCTAACTTTAACAACCTATATAAAATTAAATCCTCATTTTGGTGGCTAACTTTAACAACCTATATAAAATTAAATCCTCATTTTGGTGGCTAACTTTAACAACCTATATAAAATTAAATCCTCATTTTGGTGGCTAACTTTAACAACCTATATAAAATTAAATCCTCATTTTGGTGGCTAACTTTAACAACCTATATAAAATTAAATCCTCATTTTGGTGGCTAACTTTAACAACCTATATAAAATTAAATCCTCATTTTGGTGGCTAACTTTAACAACCTATATAAAATTAAATCCTCATTTTGGTGGCTAACTTTAACAACCTATATAAAATTAAATCCTCATTTTGGTGGCTAACTTTAACAACCTATATAAAATTAAATCCTCATTTTGGTGGCTAACTTTAACAACCTATATAAAATTAAATCCTCATTTTGGTGGCTAACTTTAACAACCTATATAAAATTAAATCCTCATTTTGGTGGCTAACTTTAACAACCTATATAAAATTAAATCCTCATTTTGGTGGCTAACTTTAACAACCTATATAAAATTAAATCCTCATTTTGGTGGCTAACTTTAACGGCCTATATAAAATTAAATCCTCATTTTGGTGGCTAACTTTAACAGCCTATATAAAATTAAATCCTCATTTTGGTGGCTAACTTTAACAACCTATATAAAATTAAATCCTCATTTTGGTGGCTAACTTTAACGGCCTATATAAAATTAAATCCTCATTTTGGTGGCTAACTTTAACGGCCTATATAAAATTAAATCCTCATTTTGGTGGCTAACTTTAACGGCCTATATAAAATTAAATCCTCATTTTGGTGGCTAACTTTAACAACCTATATAAAATTAAATCCTCATTTTGGTGGCTAACTTTAACAACCTATATAAAATTAAATCCTCGTTTTGGTGGCTAACTTTAACGGCCTATATAAAATTAAATCCTCATTTTGGTGGCTAACTTTAACGGCCTATGAACTGAGGAACACTATACACAAATCCAGGTGAAGATATCTCTTTCCATTTGAAAGTAATGGTTTTTTTTCCTAAAAAAATTGGAATTTGATATTTTGTGTTTTTACCTCAGAGGAGAAAATCAAAATGAAATACCTTGTAAAAGTAATTCATATATTCATATTACATTTTTTCCCAAACTGTTTTTTTCACAATAACAGGATAAAGGAACATGCATGTACAAATGTATGCCAGAAACTATAAATGAATCTAGTGTAACAATAAAGCAGAGAGATAAATAAATTAGAAGTCTGTAGACTAGCAGGTAACTACAATTACGGTATATAATCACAGCTTACTTTAACATATTATTCATAATGTCTTTCTGGTTGCTATCAAAATAGTTCATCACCCACCATACAATAAATCTAGAGTTACCTCCCTTTGAGCATGTTGCATATCATGATTTGTTAAAGTCTTTTTGCAAGTTTACATCAGTGTAAACTGACATTTATAATTTGTTATCCATAGCTGATTTTTGATAAGGATTTTTTTTTTTTTGATAGGTGAAGAGTTATGGTCTGTAATCTGTAAATGTTTACATTGTTCAAGAGTTGCCAGGAAGGATGTGATCTCAACAGATGGTTTCAGAACACCACAGGTCAAGTTATTACAAGGAGATACTGGATGGGTTGAACATAAAGATAACAGAATTAGGTAAGTTGTCTCCTTTGGTTTCAAATACCACAGAATTGGGTATATTAAAAGAATGAAGATGACAGAACTTGGTTAGTTATCCACCTTATTCAATCACAGATTCAGATTCTCCCCTATTTGCTAAATACTGGAAATTCAGAAATTTTTGCTCACATTTATTATTGCGATTTTTGAAGAATGAAGTAAAATGTGAGATTGGTTATTGGGATTTCAGTAAATTCTACATACAAAAAATAGTATAAAAATTTAAAATGATTTTTTAAATTTTTTTGCAATGTCTATTCTGTCAAAATTTTCACAATAATGAAACATTGCCAAATTTCTGAATTTACAATACTGCAAGTGTGATTTGTTTCACTGAGATTTACAATGGTTTTAACTATGTTCATAGTCATTTATTGCTTATGACACAAGCTTGATTGATTATCTTTAGGATGTTTGCTGTGTTTCAAAATAACAAGCTTTTTAAAAGACTGTTATAAATTGGTATAGGATTAAATGCCTTTTTAAAGGAATTTATTGGTGTATAAACTCGACCAATTCACTCACAAACAAATAAACTTTTATGATATGTTTGTGAGTGACTTGGTACAGTTTATACTCCAAGAAATTCCTTTAAAAAGGCGTTTAATCCTTATAATTCTTTAAAATTGGAGATAAGGAATTTATTTTTTCACACTCGTAACCTCTATCACAAGTAAATTGTATATTTGTGTCATTGAATAGGCCTGCCGCATGAATATATTTGTTGGTAAACGCAAAAATATGTACTCCATGAAATTTGCAATCTTATAAAAAATAAACTACAAAAGCTCTTATTATTATTCAAACGAATGTTTTGTGTTTATTATTAAATTTAACTATTAAGACCTATTAACGCGAATTGAAAATAAATTTTGTTAACGTCGATCTGGATTGTGTCATTATGGCCGCCATCTTGTTTACATTGGTTACGAAAAGAAGTTAGGTCAACATCGTCTATCTAAAAATAAACAACGTCAAGAACAACTACCGGAAGTCCTCTCAACCAATCATATCCATGTATTCTCTAATATGCAAATCATATAAGAATTATAAGTATATAAATAATGCAACTAAAAGAGCAAAAAAAAAAAGAAAGGTCAGTGTTCTTGTTTTTGAGAGATAAACTGGCAATGGAAAATCTGGCGGGAAATGATGCTCTCTAGATTTTTCTTAAAATGAACATTGGCACCTTTTTCTTTAAAAAACTATGAAAAAATAACAAGGAGTTTACAAGGTTCTCAAAACTAGCTTTTAAAACTATATGCAATGAAATTCATGAAAAGGAATGTAGGGGTAAGTGGGCAAACTTTTTAATGGCAATTCATGGATAAAACCAATGGATTTGGAATAACTGATAAAATGTCAAAAACAAGATCAGCGAACATCCTCAAGATACATACATATCTTTATAATAAGTTTTATTATTCTTTGGGGAAGTCTACTTGAGATTTTTGTTTAATTGAAACAGGTACACCTATGACATAACAAAGTGTATGTTCAGTGCTGGGAATGTTACGGAAAAGCTAAGAATTGCAAAGTTTGATTGTTCCAATGAAACTGTTGTTGATTTGTATGCAGGTAAGAACATGTAGCAGTAAATTCATGTAAAGGAAAGATTGATTGTCAACAAAAGAAAAAAAAAATATCAGCAAAAATCCACTCAATCCGTATTCATCCTTATCCATAGTTTAACTGCTCCTTATATATCTTCGTATTTATCTACAATAGATGGGGCCGTTATGTGCTAGCCTGTGCATCCATCTGTCTGTCTGGTATTAGGTAGTTTACCATGAATTTCAATTTGACTGGACATCATTCTTACTAGAAACTTAGTAAACATGTTCATTATGATATGAACATATACATGGTATTAGAAAAAAAATTATATGCCAAATAAGAGTTTCGACCCAGATACATATGTACATGCATACATACATATCATGGTTCACTGAATATAGAAATGTGGTAGTGTGTCCTATTGACCAGTGATCTGGTTTTATTTGTTGAAATAAAACAGAAAAATGAGGTTCAACAACTTTGATTGTTTCCATGAATCTGTTTAATCTTTTTTTGGCCTGTGGATTATCTGTTTAGAAACAAGAACAAACAAAATGCAATCATGTTGATGTTAAGGAACAGTCTAAGGTTAAATTTTCCCAGACATCAATAACTTTGTCAAACCTTTATGGAATGTAAGGAAACCTGAACATAAGCTTTTTTAACCAGAAGACAGTATCCAGAGAAAAATGTTGAAATATTTGTTTTCATTTAATGTATTTTGCTAGTAAACGGAATTACCATACAATTAAAAAAAGAAATGTTTAGAGACAGTCTGAGTTTTTTAGACATCAGTAACTTTACCAAACCTTTATGGATAGTTATGACACCAAGAAGGAAGCTTAGATCTGTAAGATAAAAAAAAAGCATCGAAAGAACAAAGTTTTATTTAAATTTTTGTCTGTATTTTACTGATCAATGGACTTAATTTTTGTCAGTCTTCATTTACACTTTGACAGCAGCAATGGCAAGTGAGACACTGCATGGAACGCAGGCCAAACTTTTTTATTTTGTTGATAATTGTATAATTGGCAATCATACAACTAATTCCTATTTTATATAGTTTTATTACAATCCTGGTTTTGCTTTGGTATTGGTATATATATATTAAAAGTTATAGAAAATTGAATTAACTGTTAAAGGATCTAGATCACTGTGACACAGATAGATACTTTTATACATCGGTCAAGTGGCAGGAAATTGAGAAGAAGTTTGACTAAATATGGATAAGTGGAAGTCATACTAATATCATTCTTACTAATCAAGGAAGGTTTTACTTTGTTATAATGTATTCTAGTTTGTTGACCTTTTATGACATAGTGAAATTATATCTGTTACTGATTTAAATCAAGATTGAGATTAACACGAAAATAAAAGCAATGTCCTATATATAGCTATTTGAAACTGAAACTGAAAAGGAAACTTTATTAAAAAAGATGAGCTAATATCCTATTTGAAACTGAAAAAGGAAACTTTGTTTAACCAAAGGCTATTAGATGTTTGAATGAGGTTGTGTTATGACTAATATTTATGTATATACTAGGTGCTTTTTATCACAAATAAAAAAATTTATAAGGGCAATATTCAAAGGGAACTGTGAAATCAATTCTGACTACACTTCGTGATAACTTGCTAAATTCCAAAGAACAGATTGGAAAATACACATAAGTTTTCTTCATCGAACACAGGATACAATAATGGTAACTTTTAATATTGAAAGTCAAAAAGAAATGATTAAGCTACCATAGGTTACATTTTTGTCGAGCCTGCGACTTTTGTCGCAGAAAGCTCGACATAGGGATAGTGATCTGGTGGCAACATTAGCTAACTTCTTAAAAGCTTTATATTTTAGAAGGTGGAAGACCTGGATGCTTCATACTTTTTATATAGATGCCTTATGTTACGAAGTTTCCGTCTGTCACATGTCCTTTGTCCTTGACCTCATTTTCATGGTTCAGTGACTGCTTGAAAAAAAATTGTGATTTTTTGTAATGTTAATTTCTCTCTTATTATGAGTAATAGGATAACTTTATTTGGTATGTGCGTACCTTGCAAGGTCCTCATGCCCGTCAGACAGTTTTCACTTGACCTCGACCTCATTTCATGGATCAGTGAACAAGGTTAAGTTTTGGTGGTAAAGTCCATATCTCAGATACTATAAGCAATAGGTCTAACATATTTGGTGTATGGAAGGATTGTAAGGTGTACATGTCCAACTGGCAGGTGTCATCTGACCTTGACCTCATTTTCATGGTTCAGTGGTTATAGTTAAGTTTTTGAGTTTTGGTCTTTTTTCTTATACTATATGCAATAAGTCAACTATATTTGGTGTATGGAAATATTCTATGATGTACATGTCAGTCTCGCAGGTTTTATTTGACCTTGACCTCATTTTCACGGTTCATTGCTCAGTGTTAAGTTTATGTGTTTCAGTCTGTTTTTCTTAAACTATAAGCAATAGGTCAGCTATATTTGTTGTATGGAAGGATTGTAAGCTGTTCATGTCTGCCTGGTATGGTTCATCTGACCTTGACCTCATTTTCACGATTCATTGGTCGATGTTTAGTTTTCTTGGTTTAGTCTGTTTCTTAGAAATTATAAGCAATAGGTCAACTATATTTAGTGTATTGAATGATTGTAAGGTGTACATGTATTTCTCGTTTGGTTTATATGACCTTGACTTCATTTTCTTGGATCATGTTAGTAAGTTTATGTAATAGTTGTAGTAAAGCTTTCATTTAGGACTATCAACATAACAACAATGGTTAGTGAAGAAGGCGAGACATTTCAGCGTGTGCACTCTTGTTATTATATACTACAGTTAAAGTGCTATGTTATAAAAGAGATGTTACAAGCTTACCAGTTATTTTATTTGTAAGCATGTGTAAAATGTGGTGAAACTATACTTAAAAAAGTTGTATGATAATGGTCTGAATAGTCACTTTAATGTTAAAACATTCACAATATTTTCAATTGTTTTTAAAGGCAGTGCTTTAATGCCTTTCTAGTTGCCGGGTTAATCCTTCCTTCCGCGATATCCAACTTATCTACGTGGGGGGTCATTAGACTCCAAGTAGATCCGGAAATGTTGAATTCTCTCCTCTTCTTATTGCGATATAAAATGTTTTTTGTTTCATTTCATTTACATTGGGAAATAGAGAAACGATCATTGTGTTTTGTTAGTTTTAAAAACTTTTGATATATTAGTATTTTGCATTATAAGCAGTCAACCGATTGACAAACTAGAATTATTTGAATTCCGTGTGGAAAGAGCTCGGGTTAATTTCGAGTGTTATCTGCAATCTAGATGTTTATAAATCATTTCAGTCGTTGATATAATAATTAAAGGTCGACTGAACATGAATTATATTACACAATTTAAAGCGCATTTCTGTTTATGCACGTGAACCTGTCTAACGTTATTTTCGCAGTTATATAAAGTAGCAAATTATCGTTCCTGAATAGGTGGCGCCGTGGTTGCGGATCCTATTCCTCTTCTTCCGGTTTCTGCACTGTGCACCAGAAGAAACAAAACAACTTGAAGAATTAACAACCAAAGTTCAAAAGGTACAACAAGACAACAAGCATGAATTGATTATAATGGGAGACCTTAATGCTAAAAGCTTAGAATGGAACAATGACAAGACAAACAAGGCAGGGGAAATAATTGAAAACTTCCTGACCAAAACAGACATGCTGTGTGTAAATGATGGCCAGCCTACAAGACGGAATACCAAAAGTGTCATTGATCTAGTAATTATAACACCCAGCACAAAAAATAAAGTACAAAACTGCTCAACATTAGCCCACGAAAACGTACGATCTGACCATATATGCATACTAACAGAACTTGATGTATGCAAAAAGGAACAAAACAACACATCAAAAAGGAAAGTATGGCAAATTAACAAAGTAGACTGGAATAAATGGAAAGAACAGGCTGAAAAGAACATGGAAGAATGGCTACTGAATAATCCAAGCAATGACAATGTAGACGAAGTATATCAATCACTTAAAGCGGCTATTGACAAAACAATGCAGGAAGTTATTTGCCAAAAAGAGATGAAAGATAAAAAATCAACTAAACCTCCATGGTGGAATTATGATGTTAACCAAGCAAAGAAAAACTTAAACTATAAACAAAGGCAATATATGAAGAGAAACATCCCACAAAACAAAGAAGCCCTTGTTACAGCAGAAGTAAAGTTTGAAAATGAAAAGGAGAAAGCTATGAATGATTGGAGTGAACGCTTAGTAGACCAGATCAATACATCCAGAAATTCAAAAGAGGTATGGACTACTTATAAGAAATTGACCAAAAAGAAAGATTGCAACACCATCCTACCATTAATAGAACAAGACGAACCACCAGCCTTTTCAAATCAAGAAAAATGTAAAATTTTGCAAAAAACATTTTTTGAGGGTAAACATCTAAAGACCGATGAATTTGACGAAGAGTTCTACAAACAGACTCAAGAGGAATACAAAAGAATATGTGAACTGGAGAAAAGATTGACAAAAAGAGAACATAAACTGGACTATGAGGTTACGACGGACGAAGTTGAAGCAGCAATATACCTACTAGAAATAGGTAAATCACCTGGAGCTGACAGCCACTTCCCAGAACTATTTAAGTTTGCAGGAGAAAACCTCATAGAAGCAATACGAACTATGGTGAACCTCACACTAAAACATGGCCGGTTACCACAGGAATGGAAGACAGCAAACATCAAATTCCTGAGGAAACAAGGGAAAACCAACTACTACTCACCATCATCATACCGCCCTATAAGTCTAACCAGTGTCATGTGCAAAATTACCGAAAAAATTGTTCTTAACAGGCTGGCAGCGTTCATAGAAGGAATGAAGCTTATAGAAGAAAAACAAGAAGGATTCAGGAAAAAAACACTCAACATCAAACTGCCTGATCAGATTTATCCAAAACACGATAGAAAAATTCAATAAAGGAGAAATCACCCTTGCATGTCTTATTGACCTAGAAAAGGCATATGATTCAATCT